GACTCGACTCTTCACTCGACTTCGCTCGACTTTTCACTCCCGTTTTCGATTTCGTGGATTTCTTTTTTTTTCGAGAAAAAAGCGACAGAGACTGACAATGAGAGAATTTCCTCGAATTATCAGTGGAAATAAGGTGGAGTATTCTATAAGTGGATTTGGTATGATGGTATGATCAAGGGTGCGAATCGTCCCTCTGTTTTCTTCGATTGCTGAATCAGTCGTCTAAATCTACTCGCTCGCGTACTTATCCTTCAGCCTTTCATTGGATTTGAAAGTTTTACGAGTATTGGTACTTCCAAGTACAATTGGATTTAATCGAGATAGTTTCGAATGATTCATAATTACTTCCGGAAATGAAAACGGTACTTTCTAGATGGATTCGAATGCAGAAATGGAATCGAGTATTTCGCAATCTTTTAACCTCTTAGCCGTGAATACGAGTATACTCGTCACGAAGAAATGACAATTTCTCGTGCAATGGCTAAGTCATGCAAGAAAAGTAATTATCATTTAAATTAAATTTTAAATTAAAAATCAAACATATTTGTAAATCTTAGACATTTTAGAATATTTCGAAACTAGTTCTTTTTACGCTATCAATATCAATTAAGTTAAACAATAAAATTATTGATTTAAAAAAAAAAAAAGAAACTAGTATTATTTCCTTGTAATTTAATTCAATTTTACAGTAGCTGCACATACTCTGTGTTTGATGAGTATAATCATCATCGCGTCGTTCTAGCTTTTAAAAACTTTTAAAAACGACGCTACAGTTAAGAGATTAAGGCGATATTGCCTGTAAACGTCGAAGTCTCACACATTCATCGTACAAAATTGTTGTTTCCACAAACTGAACTCATCCATTTCATTACGTTCACGGTGCATTTGTTTATCATTGGACGTATCTCTCTATTTATTGATTTTATGGTATTGATTATTAATATGAAATGTGTATATTGTTAATATAAAGAAATACATTCGTTTAAATATATTCATTCGTAGAATGGACTACACAATCATCGAGTAGTTGTTAAAACCCATTCCTAACTATCGGCGATCGCTTTCGAGCGGGGAAAGAAAAAAACTTCTCGGTCGTCCGATCGACGTGGACTTTGCTACACGACGACGATAATTTTATCGAAACGTTCTTTTTCTTTTTCTCTGTTTTTCCATTTTTTCGTTTTTTCCCCTCGAGAAACAGCTTGCCGAGTCTTCCGCTCGAGCGGATGGCGAAACGACTTCCAACGACGATCGGTTGCGTGGTTCGTTCGCGCGGAGGAGACGAGAATCATCCGACGCGTTCACATTATTACCGATTATCTAAACGCCACGGTTTCTGCCGCTCTCCTCGAGATCTCGTGAACAAAAAGTCCACGCTCGCCTGATAAGACGAGCGAGCAATCGACCGCGACCTCTGACCTCGCCGCGAGGAATTACGAGCTGTTGCCGTCTGCGATCCGAAGAATTGGGCGCAACGATCTGCCGGTTGCATCAGCGAGATATGTACGTACGTGGTCGCCGATCCAATTTCGTTTCCTCTTGCTTCGCGTAATTTTCCTCTCTGCTCTCCGTTTTCGTGGAAATCGCGAAACGTTCCAGCTCCTCCATCAACTGTATCCATAAATACAATGGACGAAAAACATTACAAGCAACACTCATGCGGCGCGTAACACTTCTATAGAGATAAATTCAACACTTTGACGTATTTCTCGACTTTTTGTTTAGAAATACTTTTTTTTATCTTAGAGATTAAGAAGTCTTTCATACGAGCGGTAAATTTCTAGTTTAACGGCCTTTCCCGATTACGACATTTTTTGCTTCTTTAATTTAGAAATTTATTTTATTTCTTTAAGTAAAAAATTTGTTTTGTTTCTTTAATAAGAGATTCCTTTTATCAATAAAACAGGAAATCAATCGGAGGAGGTCCTGTTAACAGAAACGTCGTATTAAAAAGAAATTATAAGCGAAATAATGGCCAAAATTAGGAATAATTCCTAAACTAGAAATTTATGTATACGAACAACTCTGTTCGAACCCAATAAAGATGTATTAAAACATTATAGCTTGTACTTGGTTTTCAGAAATTTGTCTGATAATGTGCCTCTCGTATAACGCGGATTTTAATTTCAAACACTTTTCTTTAACAGAAAGGAACAAGGTACTCTGACCAGATTTCAAATCGGACATGCCAGACGATCGTACTCTTATTTCTTACCTAATTAAAAACAATCCGAACAAATGCATTCTCTCGGTAGATCATCTCTTTAACTGTAATAATGCTGAAGCCTCAATTAAGTATGATAAGAAACACTTCTTGTAAAACATTTCTTCATTTTCTCCAAGATATGAAATTATATCGTCAATTATAATGCTAGCAACGATTTCAGTTTACGTTATATACCATAGTGTATTAATTTAGAATTAGGTTAGATTAGTTCTAGCATCTCGAAATATACAGACATCGATATTAAGTCTATTATTTTTTTTTTTTTTTTCAGAATTGAAACCATTATACCAAATCTTTTACCAAATATCGTTCCCAGTAAATATCACGTAATTACAAATCGTCTTTTTACCCGTTTCCGTGACTGTTAAAAACCTTCGTACATTAGACATCAAGATCGTTGCATTTCGTACAAGGTCTAACAGATAATTAATGAGACTGTTGCTATAGTTTTGTAAATATGAAGATATTTCATGCTGAACATCACGAATCACAGCTTCCTGACAGCGTTGCACAATGTTCGCAGAAATATCTAGCAATTTTTCAAACTTGGCGCGAAACTGCGGGAGCGGAGAGAACTGTACGCCGAGAGTTAATTCGCTGGACGCGCTTTACAAATTTCCCCGCGGATTCTTTTCCGCTCGAGCGAGCCACGAAACGAGTATCCGTGTCCGGGCCGGCTCGGTAACGGTATATCGCGAGTCGGACTATGCGCCGTGAACTCTCTCGCGTGTCCCCTCCCCCACGCGTTCAACGATGGATCGGCAATGATGGATTGGAAACGAAATAACAGAGTGCCTCACCCGGTACCGATCGGTTGCAACGATTTCACCCGGCGTTTCGCCAACCTGGAGGGAACCTCTCCGGGTGGTTGAACGATCGCAGAAATCGGCGATTCGGTACCGGTAAATACACGAATGGCACGGAGGCTGTTAGAACCCGTAAACGGACCCGTGGTCCCTGGAGAGGTCGGAGCTCGTGGTTTTCTTCTTCTTCTTTTTTCTTCTTTTTTCTTTTTTTTTTTTTTTTTTTTTTATTTCGGTTTAGGCGACTTGGCTCGGTGCGGAGAAGAGGCGGGGTGAAGAGGAAAAGATAGGAGAGACGGGTATTCGTTAGCCGCGGGGCGGAGGTTGGAATTCAGGCGTCGAACAGCGGGGTGTCGTTGCTCGAAGAGTCTCGAAGGAGAAGTAAAGACGGAACGGCCGAGAAGGGGAGAAAGAGAGAGAGAGAGAGAGAGAGAAGAGACAGTCTGGCGTATGTACCTTGCAAGACACTCTCTTCCCTGTCTCTCTGTCTTTCTTCGTATTCTCTTTTGACTCGTTTCGCAGCGAAACGGTATTCGACGGACGTTTGCCTAGGGAGGCGCGCGAGCGCAACAACGCGTTTTCAATTGAAATCCCCGCCGAGCAGTGTGTCCTGAATCAAGGCTCGCTAGTGGAATCGATAAAAACCTTTGGAAAGCATCGTCAGAGATGTTTTAATGTTTGGTAAAATATGTCGACGGTCGTAGTTTAATGCGAAGCAACAAGCAAAACGAAGGAACATAGAGATTCTCATGAAGAAACTCCTCAGTAACAGTGTACTTTCTAAGCATTATACATGCATGAAAACAAAAAATATAAGGGCGCAATAGATTTTATAAACGTCATTGTACATAACAGAAATAATATAGAATAACTTTTAGAGTCGGAGAATTATTAAAAAATTCATCACTGAGATATTTACTCGAAATCAAATGCTACAGATGAAAACGTGAAAGAACTAGCTGCAAATGTTACGATATGCTTAAAGATATTTTATTTCTTCTCGATATGATAATAATTTTATGAGTCTGTCGGCAAGATCGAGATCCAAAACATACCGCGAAATTAATTAAAAATTTTTTATCAATTAGTTCTTCGTAACAGTCTCCAGATTTTGATGTGATAGAAAATTTCTAAGAAATATCAGACAAATTTTGTGTCTTTGTTCGCTTTTAATTCCTATTGCTCTTCTTCGGAAGATTCTTCAGAAATTGTATATACCTACAGAAAAGCCATACAACTCACATGTTGGCACGAACTATACCAAATTTGGCAGGCAGGTCACACACTTTCCGAATGCTAAAAATGCTAGTGCAAGAGAAAAAAATTCACCATTTCGTTGCTTTGAGCGAGTGGAATTTTTTTGCACTTGAAAAAATTTTCAAAAAGACGACACGTGTCGATTTGAAACAATGATGGTTACGTGAGATGTACGACGTAGATATACATATTAAAATTGTCTTACAATTGTGTGACAATGAGTGTTTAACCTTTCTGTCTCCCTCATTTTCAAATCACATTCGATTTTCCCAGATATCTGATTTCTACAACACTTTATTTACAAAAACTATGCGCATCGAACATTAAAATCAAATGTCTAAAAACTACGTAAAAGCTACAGTAGAATCTCATTTATACTGAATTTCAGATGTACTTGTAATTAATCAACTTTTATTGTCCTTGTCTCTCATTATTCAAATAGATAAGAAAAGAAAGCTAGTCTCTCGACGTGTTCGGATAAACGAGGTTCTACTGTACATCCATTCGAGTCACATAGACGCAAAAAATACAGCAAGATTAATCTGCTTATTGAATCAATTATCCAATGAAACTCTCTGACCTCTGAAATATGTTTCGATATAATTAACAAAGTTTGAAAATATCCTTCTCGTTCTTTTACCTTGTACTTCGTACTCAAAGTGTATTTAAAAATCTCATACATAACACGTTAAGCACTTTATGTCTCCTCGGCAATGGCAATTTCTCGTGGCGCGAAATTCAAAACGGAAGGATCTACGAGTCGCGTTCAGACTACTACGCGTAGCCCGCAGTTGAGATTGATGCAGTTGGTTCATATGTTGCAGCCGTGCAGAGGGGCCGAGTGCCGCCGTCGCAGCCGTCGCTACCAGGTTTACCGGGGCAGTTTGCCCTGACGAACGGTGACGCGGTTGCGTGTGCCAGCCTGAACGGTCATTCTTACCTCTCCTCGTACATAAGCCTGCTGCTGAGGGCGGAACCGTATCCAACGTCGCGGTACGGCCAGTGCATGCAGCCGAACAACATCATGGGGATCGACAACATCTGCGAGCTCGCGGCGAGATTGCTGTTCTCGGCGGTCGAGTGGGCCAGGAACATCCCGTTCTTCCCGGACCTTCAAGTGACCGACCAGGTCGCCCTGCTCAGGCTAGTTTGGAGCGAGTTGTTCGTGTTAAACGCGAGTCAGTGCTCGATGCCTCTGCACGTGGCGCCGCTGCTGGCCGCGGCTGGTCTTCACGCCTCCCCCATGGCGGCGGACCGCGTCGTCGCCTTCATGGACCACATTAGGATCTTTCAGGAGCAAGTGGAGAAGCTGAAGGCCCTTCACGTCGACTCCGCGGAGTACAGCTGCCTCAAGGCCATCGTCCTCTTCACCACAGGTAAAGTGAAAACTGTTGCAATCTCTTCTCTATCCGACAGATAAGGCTGTTGGAGCCTAGTCTGGCGCAGACCATTTATTTCTAACGTTGTAACGAACGTTTAACTTAATTAATTAATTAATAACCATATTGAAACCACTTTTGACTGATCTTCACTCCGAAATATAAATCTTTGCACGAAGTCTGGAAACATCCTCTCCTCTTACAATTACGACAATACTGAAGTATGAGAAACAAAATAGTCAGTCAGGAGTGAAAGGACATGGCCTCAGAGTAGAATCACTTGGCATGAGAGGGTTCCACCAAGTTTAAGAGTTCCATGAATCAAAGAGACTTCTCTGATTCATTCACACAGAATTGACGACAGAATTGATCGAACAATGTCTACCTGATATGCCGACGCGTCTTCCTCGCGTAACTTGCGTGACGTGCTCGATCCTCGTCCAAGCTTAGAGAAGCTTAGAGAAAGGGGCGGACAATGTTCGGTCGGTGTTCCGCGAGCGATGGCAGGGCCGCCGGAAGAAGTCCGATCGCGACCGTCTCTTGACGCGCGCTGCTCGTTCGTAGCTTCGTCTAATCGACGGGGACAGATGTTATCGGCGACTGTGGCTGTCATCCGAACCGCGCGATTCCCGTTCTAGCTACGGACGAGGCTAGCGGCACAATACACATAGCTCGTTCGTCGATGTTCGCGTCGCGCGATCGTCATCGTCCGGTAGTCGAGACAATGCTCCAGGCGTGCCTCTCTCCCCTTCGTTGCGTCTCTTCATCTCGTGATACTCGTCTTCCCGAACTGTTCGTTGCGATTCTTCTCTGATCGCCACCTGAATATTCCTCACTGATCGAGTTGTTCGTTCATGGCCCGAGCGGGAGGACCTGTTGCAGCTAAATTTCATCGATGGTATTCACCTGTTCTTATTCTTTCGCGGTGATCGTTCTCGACTACTGAGAATTATCGTCACGGATAAGTGAGGTAAACTTCGATTCGAGTTTTCGTCGGATCCGCAAACGTTCTTTTACAATTCGCAAGGAATTGTAAACTTCTTTTAAAGCATTTCGAAAGTACAAGAAAGTATTCGCATACCACTGTATTTATCGTAGCGTTTATGTATTATATAATATTCGAGACGACTTTCCAGTCTCTCTGGAGACCTTCCTGGATGAAATAATAAATTTTTTTTTATGAGTATATTTCAGAGTACGTTTAATAATAGAAAAAAGTTTTCCAATATAATCTTCTTAACATAGAAATTGTAGTTCCTATTTGTCCTGAATGTGTTGATTGTGTTTAAGTATGTTGAATTTCGTATCAGCAGTATACAATAATTTAATATTACGAAGGTGTCTGCAAATGCATGTTTTGTAGCCACTGTACGCTTCAAAGATTTTTCGACTAATCGCGGCAATTTAAATCAAACGAATGAATATTCGTTCGTATGTCACTTCAAATTCGTGATTGTTCGTTACACCAACAAGCAATATGAAGTACGAATTCGACTGGAATAGCGGGCGAGCATTCGTTTGGCCTAAACGAACCACGTTCAAAATTACGTAAATACATATAACAAAAGCTCCTCCTTCGTATCGATGATATCCGTGGTTAATAATAAATGAGCAAAAGTTCGAACAAGTATTTGTTCGTTTGATCTGAAAATATTGTATCCCATCGATCTTGTCGTTTAAAGATTGATACTATTTCTATACAAGATATGGACAGACTCGCTAGTTGTAATATTTAATAATCTAATTAATAAAGTTATTCAAAGAAAATTCTAAAAATGTAAATGTAATTGTATTATTGATAAAGTAATGAAAAAGCGAAGAAATCTGGCTATTTACGGAATTAATGAAAATACGAAATTATAGAGCGGGAAGTTTAACTGACGACGGATGGTGGACAGAGTTAGGAATTGTTAAAGACAAGAAGAAACTATGTCGTTTTTTCTAGTCGAAAAGTTTCCATCTCACGGATGGAAATATGAACGTATGTCCGACGCATAGGAAATCCTATCCGAAAGTGTGTCGCAACGGAGAACCGGATTGCTTCGTCCGCAAATCGAGGACGAACGGACGGACGCGAGTTTCTTCTGCGTCGGAACGCGATCGCGCGGAAGGATCGACCCTTCGAGTTCGATGGGCCGATAGGTCCCTGTGCGGTGGGTGGCCGAGCGCGTGTGTCCGCGAACGACCGGGGCAAGAAGGGCGAGCCCTTCGAACGAACGCACACGCGTTCAGGTTTTTCGGGGGAGCGCGAGATCGGCCCATGCTAAACTCGTCTCGTTGTAGATACGGGACAACCGACTATTTATTTTCGTGCTATATGGCCGCGCTTAGCTCGGTTTAGCTTATGCTAATGTCCCGTTTCTTCGGAGAGCTTTCCCCTCCTACCAGCCCTTGCGCGCTCGTGCTGTCCTCTTTTTCTTCTCTTCCTTAGCCACGGCAAGGACCCGTGGCTTTCTCTTCTTTCTCTCTTTCTCTCTTTCTCTCCCCGACTCGTTGTTCTTTCTCCGGTTCGAGGGGGACCCAGCGTGGATCCCCTTTGCGGTTCGTGGCACGCGGCGGGACCCCGCTTCTCTCTGCGAGACTTCGTCGGATACTCTTCAGGCTATCGGCGACAAACGAAACCAGCAGCAACTGGTGGTATTTGTTGTTATATTAATAACGCAGTGGAAACGCATTTCTTTGAACCAAAATTTATTTAATCAATACCGTGGTTACGTCCACTTATTTGAACTTGAACTTGAACTTCTATTGTACGAACGAAAAATCCACGGGGTATAATCAGTGTTGTTCGTATTGTTTTACTGTCGTAATAAATGCGTATGTGTAACAACAAAATATCGGCAAGAATGTCTTATGGTATTAAAATATTTAGTTATAGGTTAGATGAGGATCGTATGCCAACCGTGTGCTATTTATACGATGACAACGAGACAGTTGGTTGGGTGCGTCTACGTTTGTTACTGTTACTTATTGGTTTTTACTGTTACGCGGTTACCTTATGTGTTTAATGTTAACGAAGCTCGATGTAGAACCTGTTTCTAAATCTGTTTACCGATATCCACACACATACACGTGTAACTCTGCAATGTGTTCTGACGGCAACTAGGGCTCGGTGTTGGTAATGGATGTGCGAAAATGTCCCAACGCGTTGAATACTTCTCTGGAATAGGCCACTTTTTCGATATTTCTCGGAACAAACGAACTAAATAATGAATTATATAATATAGTATCAGAATATTGTCCTCATTTCTTACGATGACATTTTTTATTATGGGACATTGGATAATGGCAGAGTAATAAACGTGTCATATAAAATAGAGAATGAAAAATTAATATGTATATAGAATTGACCAGTCTCCAATGATCTAAAAATTTATACAAAATTTATACAATCTAAATTTTAGCCATTTCAAATATAGTAACATTCTACAACAATGATATACAAACGGCCTGTTCAAATCTTTTTTCTGTTTATAAATTTTTTTAGGATTATGTTTTAATTATACTACTTTCATAATTACATATCGGAAACACTCGAGCTAACACACAACTTTCACACTCTAATTGATGTACCATTTTTCTGAAATTCAATGAATAATTCTCGAAACCAATCTAGCAACATTGTTCATAGTAGCGTTGCGGTGGAAAACCTGTCTGAATCGGTACGACAAGATGCGAAAATGGTAAGGATTTAACAGACAACTTTCACACTCTAATTTACGTACCATTTTTCTGAAATCGACTGACAATGGTTAGCGATCATTCGCTGTTTTAAATCATTACACCTCTTCATTGATAAAGTACCATTATTAAAGTTCAATTCAATGAATAATTCTCGAAACCAATCTAGCAACATTGTAGCGTTGCGGTGGAAAACCTGTCTGAATCGGTACGACAAGATATGATGCGAAAATAGGTAAAGGTGTCCTAACTCGTAGCACAAAAAAATACATTGTATGCTAGGTCTATTCATATACCTCGTTTGTGATTGTCGAAAACATGGAAATATTCCATGATATCACTCGATATATACGCTGTTGCGTAACAGAGACGAAATCGCGGATCGCGATTAGTTCCGTTCGATTCGAAACGAGTTCGCATTCCAGAGCGCGTTCTCTCGTCTTCGCGGAGTAATACTTTCGGCTTGCATCCTTGCCGTTTGTCGAAACGTCGTCGAGTCCTTTTTCCCGTCCTGTGTCCCATAACTCCGAATCATGCGTCTAATTGTTCGAATAAAACGGTGGAACGATGGAGGGCACGGTGCATGAAGCACGTTTAGCCGGCTAGATCGAGCGTTCCACCTTGGTTCGGCTTTCTCCTGTGCATACTCAGTGACGCGTTAAACTTGCAACGGACGCGATCTTCGCGGGTTTTCGAGAGTAATTTATACAATTGTGGCACTTATATTCTCAATGAATTGAAACGAGCGTGCGAGTAGAATGTACTTCGAACGAAGTTGCACGTTGAACCGAGGAAAATGGAGGAAAGGATAATATCATTGTCTCCTGGGTGATAAATTGGCCCCCCTCATGATTTTCATATTTATGACTGGAGTGTGCACCTTTATGGTGCAATTAAGGTTAAACAGAGATTTGTTTAATCCATTAATTATCGTAATAAATAGTATACTTTGAATATTTTATATATTTCTGTGTATTATGCGCGTCTCATGTACTTTTGAATTACGCAGAATTGTTGCTAATAGCAAGCATGAAAGTATCCGATAAAGGCTTATAGGATCGATATTTATAAGCAAAGTTATTTAATTTTTGGTTCAAGCAAGAAATAAGTAATATTTCAAGTATCGACATTTCTTATAGAACTTCTTACAACATCGACATAATGTAAATATATTTTATAACGAATGTTATTTCATAGCTAACGTAACAATACTTGAATTAAATAATTTGTGAATTAGTAACACATAACGAGCATCTTGTAAAAAAACAGTAGATTTTTGTTTGATAAATCAGAATTTAATTTATTACAGAAGATTAGTTACTTTGTTTAGCTGAACAATAACCAACAGCAGAGTTTGAAT